TATATATGCACCTGCATACACACTTCCATATGTATATACATATATATACACATGCACACATATGTATACCCCCATATATACATACGTACATATACACAATGGGGATCACACACATATAAATTCTCGACAAAGTAGAAAAGTTTCCTACATACAGTAATGTAATAGTCTAAAGTAAATCTGAAATGGTTAAAGGGAGGAAACTTTTGTTATGAAACGAAGAACATTATATTCCTTTTATGTATTAGTATCACATAAAAGTTGTAAACATTTGACTGTAATTGAAGGATCAATTATAATTCAAGTATTATTATAAAAAATATGTTACCAACTATAGTTTCAATATATTGTCTTAAATAAGTCATCATATATCAGAGCTTATGGCTACTGTAAATCATTTCTCATTTCTACATATATCAAAAGCAAACATGATAAAAGGTACAGTCCAATAATTGATGGATCAGAACAGTTTATGCATTGGAGGTTTCTCAAATACATTTAAGGCTAACGCATTTGATCTTTATGAATCAATCACAACTAATCTTATTTATTGTCACAAAGATTGTCTTATTAGATAAAATAATTACTAGTCTTTTTGGCGAAGCAATCCAGAAAGTGTTACTCTTAAGTCTTTTATTAATTTAACAGTTTTTATTTACAGTCATGTATACTGTAGATAATTTATCGTGGCTCATTACTTACCTGCCTATAGTCTATTCTTTCCTTGGTGTTGTCTTGCCAGTTCTTCTCTTCTCTCTGTAAAACTTAATCACATGATCTATATTGTCTTTCTTCCATTGTTGTAAGACGTATACAGAACCATTGAAAAACCATGCACTCACTATGTTTGAATGCAGTAGTAGACGATTTATTAATCCGGAATTCAATAATGTTACGTCATCGACAATATTGTACCCAGGTTCCTTCATTATTTTCCTTTTTCGAATTATTCTTAACTTAACATCATTGTTTGTTGTTTGTAGTAATACAGGTCTGCTGACATGCTTCTTAAAATTATGGAATTCTATGAATTCTTTCAAGATTCACTTCTTTTTGTTTCAGTATGGTTATGACTTGATCTGTCAATGATTCAACTTATTCTGTTTTATCTTCTGGGATATTAAGTATTTTTCTATGTTATTTTTTCTTGAATATTGTTCATTATATTTTGATCTTTTGGTAGCATCTTTCACTTCAGTTTCATTTTTTTACAATCTTTCTTCAATTTCATCCACTCTTCTGGTTGTGTCATTATTTTCTTTCATTAGTCTCTCCTTTAAGCTTTGATTATCAAATCTAGCGGGTTGATTTTTTCATTTAGCTCTCTTGTTTTTTTCATTTACTTCAGCTTTTACCATGCTTTCTATATTTTTTTGCAGTTCACTGATTTATTTGGACACTATAAGTTCTATATCTTCCTTCTTCATCATGTGTTGTAAATCACTTTTTAATCCTTCTAGATTTTCTGTCACAATATCTAATTGATTTTGTATCAAAGTCATGTTCATACTTTCGTTCTAAGGGTACTTTCATTGCTTACCTCTGAAATAGGTATTTTGGCTGGAGGTTGTTTTGTGCTCTTTGACACTGTTTTTGATTAACTATGTTTACATTCTCTCTACTGCCTGGACCTGATCCCTGACCTTTACCTGACATTGTGTATGTTTTGCTATTTCAAAACTTCAAATGTCCTGTTATCTGATGTAATTATCGCCCAGTTTAATCCTTTCACCTTTATTCTCTATACACACAGGTTAAATCCCTATACATGTATATCGATAATCCAAAAACATAGGTTTTACACAAAGGAAAGCTTTTCCTTCAAATATCTCCAAAACTTTTATTACATTTTCACTATATTCCAGTATCATACACATTTATTAATACACTTCCATTTGATATATATTTTCTCACTATTAGATCACTAAAAAACATAATATTTTTTTGCTAAAAAATGAAGAGCAAATTTATTTCATCTTACTACTTGAAAAATGCCTGAGTGAAAAAAACATCTTTGTTTTATTTTAAATTCCTATTCAAATCAAATTCCATTTTGATTAAAATCAAATAATGTAAGTAATATTGTTTAAATCTGAGTAACAATTAATGGGGTAAAAATGAACTGAAATAAAACTATTGAGGACGAATAAAATGTTCTGTTTGTGGTTAGCATGCTTAGTAGTAGCTTATCATATGCAAGTGAACAAGTTTGACTTCGGCCGAGTATCTTTTTAAAGATACTTCTTGTTTACAAGTATTTTTGAATCTGTATTTTGAAATTTGACAACCACGGGTCGATTTTACCCTTTGACAAAGCTGCCAATTCTATGGGCTCTATCAATTTCAATTCTGCTACTTGCCCTTGATATATGTAGTCCTTTTTCGCAGAAATTAAAAATCTTGTACACACAATTCTCAGTACTGGATCCTGCCGAACAGGTCAAGTGTGACGTCGTCGACACATCAGTATCGCCTAGGTCTGAAGCACTTGAATTGCCTCGACCCGCCCATGCAGGTTTTTGCGGCCCTTGATGTGTTTTGGTATATTCAATGTTACTGTCCGGCGAGGATCTTCGATATTGGACTCGTTAATCACACCAGTAGACGATAATGCTTTGATCTGCGAACTGCCCTACGGAATGCCAAAAAACAAGAGATTGTCCCGCATGGAGCGACATTTAAGATCTATAACTGACTCCTTCAAGCTACTGTTTTCATTTTTTATGTCAGAATTTTATTTTTTCAAAGATTTAACTTCACACTGTAAATGCTCAATTTCTCTTATTAGCATTGGTGCAGACAGAGTGTGTCGTATTGGAAATTTGGTCTCTCATGAATTTTTTGGCTTTTTTTTAATACTCCATGCTATTTAATCGTGATGTAAGGTCCGTGTGTGCTTTTTTTATCAACTTTGTCAAACCTTTGCGGAATACATTTCAGAATGTCGTTATGTTGACTAGTTTGAATATATGAAATGTTTTGCTGTAAATGCACAGGCGAACCAGAGTTAAAATTCATGTATGATGGTGTATACTGGTATATTTGGGGTAAAGAGAATGACTGATTACCTTAATTGCATGGCGAAGTTTGTCCCGGCTGCACGGGTTAATCGATGTTCTGGTTAGGGTTGTTTGTCGCCATCTTGTTCTTTGTTTGACTCTTGCCACCTGTCAAGTGTTTGTGTTTTGAGAGAAAGCCGCCTCTTGATTTCACAAGTGTCAACAATCAAAACACAATACATGTATGTGAGTGTGTGAAAAACTGTATTTACCAAACCGTTGTAGCGTATGAAGTTTATTATACGCGTGATCTGTATTATCCAATGAAATCGATAGAACAATGCTATGCTATCCTACTTAGATGGTGTAAACGCTTCGCTGTTGATATTTAAACTGCATTGAATTGAGCTTGAACTTGATCAGCAATCAAGTTAATCGTTACAATTTGATGAAGTTTGTTTATAATTTCAAATAAAAAAAATGCACCATAGAAAGCATCTACACACATTAGGTTTTACGTGTCGGGGACAATGAAAAGAAGCGGAGTACAGTAGCTTAAAAATTGTGGAAAAAACGTCAAATGGTTTAAAACTGTTTTGTCAATAAATATCAGAAAATTATGTTTTTATTATTTGAGCATCTATTGAGATGATCGAACCGTTTTAATTATTAAACATTTATATAAATTGGCCTCCTATAAATGAAGCTGAAAAAAACTTCCCCACCGCCGAGGAAATATGTCATATATAATTTTTTACTTTTTTTCTCATGCTTTGATTTAAGAGACCGTTTCGTTAAGCGACCTTTTTTGGTATTTCCCTTGCGCGGTCGCTTAATACATGTTTGACTGTATATTAGTATAAAATCTTGCATGGTATTTTCTTAAAACGAGGTGAAAATGCGAACAAAAAATATAGTACAAGAGCCAGTAGAAACTGGTTATGCTCCCCGATTAGGTTTTTGACACAGAAAATAATACCTCTTGTAGTTTCAGAGTTATGGCCGGGACAAAGTTCAAAGTGGAATTATTCTACAATTGGGTAAGGCAAAGATACTTTTCTTGGCGCTGCATATGTACGCAATGAGATCTATCATGCTACAAAGTTTCATGTTGATATCTCTTATAATTTCAGAGTTAGGTCCAGGACAAAATTCACAGTGTAAAATTGAAAAAAGGAAATTATCCAAAATAAGGCAAGGCAGAGTTATGGTTCTTTTGCGCTGCATATCTATGCAATGAGGTCTATCTTACTACACAGTTTCATGTTGATATCTCTTACAGTTTCAGAGTTGTGTTCCTGACAAAGTTCATAGTGAAAAAATGAGCAAATGGCAATAACTCCAAAAAATAGGCACGGCTGATTTATGGGGTTTTTTTGCACTGCTAATCTACCCAATGAGATCTACCTACCTACAAATTTTCTTGCTTATATCTTATATAGTGTCAGAGTTATGTCATAGTTTATGTTCAAAGTATAAAAATGAAAAAAGGGCAATAACTCTAAAATTAGGGAAGGTATAGTTTGGTTCTTTTGCACATCTACCCAATGAAATCTATCTACTTACAAAGTGTCTTGTTAATATTTTTTATACTTCAGACCTATGTCCTGGACAATATTCAAAGTGTAAAAATTAACAAAGGGTAATAACTCTGAAATTAAGGAAGGCAGAGTTACGGTGCTTTAGCATTGCATTTCTATTTGATGAGATCTATATATCTACTAAGTTGCTTGTTTATACCTCTTGGCCAACGTTCAAAGTGAACAAAGGGCAATAACTAACAAAGAGCAATTACTCTAAAATTAGGCAAGGCAGAGTTATGGTTCTTTTTCACTGCACTTTTACCCAATGAGGCCTATCTACATACAAAGTTTCATTTTGATATCTCTGATTATTTCAGCGCAAACTTCAAAGTGTAGAAATGAACAAAGTTACTTAAAAAATTTGACAAGGCAGAGTTACAGTTTTTGTGTACTGCACATCTAGCCAATGAGACCTATCTACCTATAAAGCTGCTTCATGTTGATACCTCTTGTTGTTTCAAAGTTATGTCCCGGACAAGAAAGTGGAAGGACGGACGGACATCCGGACGGACGGAAAAAGTGGCAACTATATGCTCATCCTACGGGGAGCATAAAGTGTAGAATAGTGTAATGATAAAACCTCAATTCCCAATGTTTGAACTGTATTGCCGAAAATAAAAAGCTTAACACCTTGATAAATAAATAAAACAGAAAATAAAATCAATTCCAAACAAACTAAAGCAAACTAATTCTAAATGTTCCTTTAAATAATGTTAAACAAACTTTTATCAAGAGCAACTGTCTGATCTTTACTGATTATACGTATTGTATAAATTATAAAATGTCTGTAATTTCTGTAAAGAACTTAAAAAATTACATTCAGTAAACACTTAAACAAATAGACTGTTCTACTAAAACATAAGATTTCAAAACTATGTTATAACTATGGCTAACTTTTTCTAACGGTACATGTCTGAGTCCAACACAAGATTTGTCAACTGTGCGTTGTCAACTGGCATCGTTCACCGTATCAAAGTCATGGCTATAAATGGTGCTGTGGATTTTTTTTTCGTAAAATACCGGTAAAAGTCTGCCTTTTTATCTACAAGCGTATTATAAAATATGAAAGTCAAGGTTACTGCGTATCTCATGAAAAAGAAACCGAATATATATGAAATTGTGTCCAATAGGAGTTGGTTGTGTCGGGAGTTGCGTTCTGTGAACGTTGTTGATCTTTATTCTCATTTTATGCCAACAACCGCGTTGTTTGTGTCGTATGGCGACTTGATGGTCTCCCCTTACATGCAATCAAAGTTGTCATATTTTCATTTAAGGAGATTGTTCGGTGTTTATTGTTTGTTGTCCCCAATCATGTCCTGCTTGCTTATCCTATTGTTTTTATTTATTTATCGGTGCTTTCTGGGTGCTCTGAATATGTGACTGAATTGTGTTGGGAGCTGCGTTCTGTGAACGTTACCTTGCCTTGTTGATCTTTATTGTCATTTTTTGTACCTGTTCCGCTAAATGAAACAACAGTTACTATCATTTTTACAAGTGAAAACACATTCTGATGACTGTTTTCAAGAGCATGTAGTTATACAAAGCGTCTCTTGGGCACAATTTCTTTCTTCACTTGTTCGGATCTATCAATTATTTTGCAGTTTCGGCTCCCTTAGTCTTCAGTCTTTTCACTATATTATCCGCCCCTTTAGAAAGAGCAATGTCGAGTGCTGTTTGATTTTTCGAATTAATGCAATTAATATCGACATTTTGTTTTTGAAGAAGTGACTTTGCGATATTCAAATTGTTCTTTACTGCTTCCATCAAAGGGGTTGAACCATTTATGTCAGGTGTATTGATTTCGACATCCTCATGTTTAAGAAAAATCCGTGTTATTCTATATTTTTCCTCCTTTATAGAAAGAAGTAATGGCGTGTTTCCTTCACAATCTCTTAAATTGACATCAGCACCAAGTGATAATAATATATTTATCATCGTTTCATACCCATTAAGACTTGCTATGTGCAATACTGTTGCTCCTTGATACTTCTGATATTCATTTTCTCCACCTGATATTTTCAATTTAAGGAGTTCGGGATTTCTCTTTACGAATAAAGATACGATTTCACAGTGATTAGAGTTTGCAGCCATGTGTATGGGACTGAATCCTTTTACCTCATGTCCTTCTATTCCACAGTTTAACATACACGAAACAGTCTGAATGGCGCCTACAGTACACGCATCATGAAATATTTCAAAGTTCTTAACTTCTTCTTTATCCTCTTTCTCCTTTAGCACTGAAACGAAGTTTTCATTGCCGAAGGCATCGTGATTAACGGCCATTTTATTTGATCGGTAAAAATACAAGAGCCGTTTGTGCAATAGTTCAAATCTTGACTTCTTTATATATACTTTGACTATGCTTTCATCTTCTGTTTCGTCGGCTGTTGTGACGTACGTCAGAAGAAAATCAAGTGAGCATAAATTAATGCCATCCTTGATATTTTTCTCACAAACCAGCAAACCTACTACGTCGGCAATGATATCATGACTAAAGCGGAATTCCTCGCTGTCTTCAATATAGTTGATAAACCCGTCTTTGTGAGAAAGCAATGCCTCCTTAACATAAGATACTGAGAACACATTTTGTTGTTTTAAACGGCAGGAAATTTCACTGCGCTCTTCCATGTCATCTAGCTCCGTTATCCTTAATGTGTGCTTTAATTGTGACCATAAGAAAAAAAATGCTAAGAAAGATTTTTCTTCACTTAGCACATCACTTAGGCAGTTTTTCACAAAATATATCGGCTTTTCAAGAAACGTGAATCCTTTTTCAAAGAATTGTGAAAACTCCGCGTACATATTTGCACGTTGAGGAAAACCTATTTGAAACATTGTCTCCGGGTTATTTTCATAACTGGAGACAAAACTTTTCAATGCATCAATATCTATTTTCCGTTCGTTAGCTTCCAAATGGGATTTTAAAATTTCATAACGCTCATCGATTGATATTGTCTCAGACTTGACAGTTATAACATTGTCTGCAAACCAATTTGAAAGTTTATAGAACAGATACTTCTTTGCTTGTCGAAGAATGTGTGGCTTTATCGTGATCAAAACGATTATATCTTTTTTCAAAACTGCTTCCCGTATTTCTTCTAAAACAGGACGCCAACATTTTACATTTTCTTCCTCGAGAACAGCAACTCCAAAAATGTCATCAATAAATATTGCATCACAATTTTTGATAGACACTAATCTCCAGTCGTTAGGTGTACTGAGCCTTAGATATCTTTTTCCTGAGATAAGGTGCAAAGCAATGGTGCTTGTGCCCTCCCCATGATTCCCATTTATAACAACAAAACCTGTTTTCTGTAGGCGTTTTAAGGTGCTTTCAAATGCTTTAGTCTTTACAAAAGTAGCGTTAGATTGCAAAGTCATCTTTCTTTCAGAGCATTCTGCAAATGATTTAAGGAACGTTAATGTAAAATAAGGACATTTTTTTAAAATTGATGTAAATATAGTTTCAAATTTAAATTTCTGAAAATATCTGAATTCTTATTTCACCATTGAAGAGCTATTCTTAAACAAAACATTGTTAACTTTACAAACTAAATAAATAACCTTATTTTAATCAAATCACTGACTGCCACAAATGTAATATAAAAAGGCTTTTTTACATGTTTGTGACAGACCAAGAGGTTATGGTTGCCGATTTCAAATCCCTTTACCCCTAACTGCTGCGGGTTCAAATCCCGTAAGAGACTTTCAATAATTTCTTTTGAAAAAGGCAATTCAGCTTATGACATATAGAAGGTCAGTGGTTCTACCAAGACATGATATAGTACACGAAGGCCACCTGAGGTATTCTTCCACCAGTAAAACTGTAAAGTCGCCTTCTGACCTTTACAGTTCCGATGTAAACAAAACTAAACAAAACATACTTCTATCGTAATGTAAATAAAAAAAGGTAGTAACACTATATCACAGATGTCATTTAAATAATAATCATACATATGAAAGGAAATATCAGCAAGAGAGAGCAACATTTAGTATCACCGAACAGTACACTTGGAAGACACTCTGCATGACAACAAGTAAATAAGATGGAAGAAGGGCATATAAATTAATTATATCATTGTGATGCAAAGAGCAGACTACCACTCACTTTTAAAAAATATTTTTGTTTGCTTTGCGCAAAATTGACTCAATCTCATATATAACATTATTTTGTGTTTTAGTAATATGCCAGTTCAAAATCTGACATCAGTTTACAATATGAAAAACAAGATCAACTAGACATTGTCACAAGTGCCAAATACCCCTGACACGTGATTGTCAGAAAATAAGCTTTTTAGTTAATAATTTTGCACATAAGGAGAATGAATGCAGTAGTTTATAGATTTTTTCAAATGTTTTTAAATTATTTGTCCTTCATCAATAAGATAAGAGATAAACGTTCTTTCTCTCTGACATGTATGCAATTCTACTCTATGGGATCTATCTACCTACATAGTTTCATGTTGATACCTTATATAGTTCTCAAGTTATGTATTGGACAAAATGCAAAGTGTAGAAATGAACAAGGGCAATAACTCCAAAATTAGGGTAGGGAGGGTTACGGTTCTTCTGCACTGCACTTCTGTTGATACCTTTTATAGTTCTCATGTTATGTCCTGGACAAAGTTTAAAGTGTAAAAATGAACAAAAAGGAAATAACCCCTTAATTAGGAAAGGCAGGGTTATGGTTCTTTTGCACTGCACTGTTACTTACATATCTACCTACAAAGTTTCTTGTTAATGTCCCTTGTAATTTTAGAGTCTTGTCCCTGACAAAGTTTAAAGTGTAAAAATGAACAAAGGGCAATAACTCCAAAATTAGGGTAGGGAAGGGAGGGTTACGGTTCTTCTGCACTGCAAGCAAAGTTTCAAGTTGATACCTTTTATAGTCATCAAGTTATGTCCAGGACAAACTTTAAAGTGTAGAAATGAACATAGGGATATAACTCCAAAATTTGGGATGAGGGGGTTACGGTTCTTGTTCACTGCACTTCTACTCAGTGAGATTATATACCTACGAAGTTTTAAGTTGATACCTTTTATAGTTCTCAAGTTATGTCCCGGACAAAGTTCAAAGTGTACAAATAAACAAAAGGCAATTACACCAAATTTAGGCAAGTCAGAGTAACGGTTCTTTATCACTGCACTTTTAATCGATGAGTTCTATCTAGCTACAAAGTTTCTTGCTAATATCCCTTGTCATTTAAGAGTTATGTCCCGGACAATGTTCAAAGTGCAAAAAACAAAGGACAACAAGAGCCATGTAAATATAGTCATCCCCCGCCGAATGTGTTTGCACATTGGAAGAATGTATATGTAGTAGAGAAGAATAATTAAATTTTCCAGGCCTCTTAGTAATGAAAACTGATGGCTGAAGTAATTACAGATTTGAAACCTATGTGAATACTGATGGCTGAAAATATTAAAAGGGCAAAAACTCAAAAATTCTAAAGGGTAGAGTTATCATTATTAAGCACTGCATACCTCTTGAGTGAGATCTATCTACCTATGCAGTTTCATATTGATATTTCAAAGGCTTTTTGAAATATGCTCTGGACAAAAATAAAGTTTGAAAAATAACAAAGGGCAATAACTGAAAAAATATGAAGGATATAGTTATCATTCTTGTGCACTGCACTCCTCCTCAATATGATCTATCCACCTATGAAGTTTCAAGTTGATACCACAAATTCTTTTTGAGATATACTCCGGACAAAATGTCGGACGGAAGGACGGACGGACGTTCTTATGGGACAGTAATAATGTGGCTACTCTACTGTTCTCTCTATTGTTCTTTTCAGCCACACAAAAGAAAATAGCCACATAAAAGCATCACGGAATGGATGACATCAAAGAGAAAGAACAGTTACCTATTGTCCCTGTAGCCACATTTTTACTGTCCCGTGGGAGCGGATAGACAGACGGACGGAGACTATTTCTATATCCCCCGCAGCCTTTTTGGCAAAGGATAATATGGTTATGGTTCTTTTGCACTGCACTTCTATTCAATGAGATCTATCTACTTACACAAATTTTAGTTTCAAAGTTATGTCCAAGACAAGAAATCTGCAACGGACAGACCGACGGACGGTTCGACCGTCCGACCACCAGCTGACTTCAGGCCCCGTGTTCACAAAGATTTAATGATCAGGATCAAATTTAAAAACTCCAATTTTAAACTCTTCCTTGTTTATCCTCATAGATTAAATATCTAATATAAATTCAATAAAACTGGACTTGCAATAGCAAGTTTATGAATTTTTATAATAAATTAATTGTTATTTTTGCGAGATACGGGCATTTCACAGTTGATCCAAATATTGATCCGGTGCCTGATCCTAAAATTATCCTTATTTTGATCAATTTTTTTATTTGTTTTGTTGTTTGTTTATTTTATACCAAAATAGTTTGGTTTCTTTGCAAATCAGCAACTTCTTACATTTTGAATATTTACCATTTTATTCTAGCAAAAGACGATTAATTTTAGTAACATAAAACAATGAAAATAAAATCAGGATCACTTGATCCTGATCCTGATCTTTTCTTAGTGAGCACGAGGCCAGTATACCCCCTATAACTTCGTTTGTCGGGGGTATAAAAAAAGGAAGAGCAGCATTCAATGAACGCATTCCCCCCAACAAATCTCAGCATTACAGGACGACCGGCAAAGAGCCATGCAAGGCACCAGACTAGACAGGGCACACTGGCAATTCACTGGCTGGATGTCACTATTCAAATTCTTCAAAAAAGGAAATTATAGAAACTGACAAGGTCACTAAAGAAAATCATTGATTAAAATGCCTGCAAAAAGGATAAGGGTGTAGAGGATGGGGGCAGAGGAACAGGGGCGTGATCAAAATCCAATATTGAAAAAAAAATAAGGGAAAGGAATGAAACTTATCGTAGAAAACAAAAGCAAGGGGAGATACAAAAGTGTCACTTCAATTAATGTTCCATTTATATGTACAAAATTTAGCTTTAATAAGAAGCTTTTGTATCAGTATTGTTTGTTTTTTGTATATATGTAAGGATAGAAACTATTGTTTTGTGTCTATGTTTTAAACAAATGACGTTTAAGTGCACGAAACTCTAGATAATATATATATACATAGGAATGCCCTTTTTAAAACTTTCCATGCCTACAATAAAGTTTAACCTAGTTATCAAAATAAAGTACACAGAAAAATAGAATGATTTATTTTTAAAGATTCGAAATGATCATAGTCGCCAGTTTGTAAAATCAGTTGTAGGCATTAAAGATCTATTGGGCAATATATATACCAAGTTCAACAAGACAATTATTTGAGAGAAAAAACATTCAAGAAGCGATTAGAAGATTTGTAAAGATGATAATCTGAAAGCTTCTGACTTCTTTCTACTAAGTAAAAGTGAGCAAGTTTGGTATTATTGTATTATGCCTTGAGGAAGATAAACGTATTGTGGCATAATTAGAATTTGTTTTGTATCAAATAAAAAATTCTTACCTTTTAAATTGTCCTTTCCTGAAATTTAAAAGTAAAATACCAGGAATAGATATATTTGCAGTACGTTTGACTGATTTCAAAACTGTTTAAAAAATAAAATGGTATTATTACAATCTATAAAATAACAGATCAGTAAAAAAAGAACGATATAAGATTTTGACATGCCGAGTTACTGCTTGATATATGCTAATAACCATAAAATGTTATTTAAGACATAAGATGATACAGAAAAGAAAACATGTAATAACAAATGCTTTATTCAAAGAATTGATCATCGATCGACGAGTCCATATGTACACAGGTACCAACGGTAACATTTTTGCTTGAACCAATTTCCAAAGTGTGTGACCTGTCAATCAGATCAAATTGATAGATAATTGTTCGCAAATTTAATAAATCTACATATTTCATATACCTAGACATGGTTCTTGTTAGATACACAGACCGACATTTTGGGGGGGGGGGGTATGGAAAAAGTTATATGCTGTGTCAAATGAATTATTTCAATGATTTAAGCTTGGAAATATGCATCATATCACTGTGAAGATTTTTTCAAGACAATATGCCGTGAGCTATTTATTACGCTTCAGTGATGTTCGTTTCTAAGAATAGAAGACTGTCTCCTACATTTAGAGAGCAGACCGGTAGATTAGAAATATTGAAAGGTTTCCTTATTGCTTATGTATTTTATCGGCGACAAATTTCATTTTCCACCTGAATATATTACATTGTATTTTCATTTGACAAACATATGAAACGATTTAACTACAAATAACATAATTAACCTTTAGAAAAGCTGAAGGACATTTTACCATCTCTTGCATTAAGTGTGCTGAAATGCGTCGCTTGGTTATTCTTCCTTCAAAACTCCTTGGTTAATGTGTACGAAAGTTTGCGCTAGTGTTATTATTAAAGTTCTGAACTCCTAAATTAAAAGTCGTAATGCGAAATTTATAGGGAATAATCCACTCCTCTTCTCATACTTAGCGGAATAAACGTGATTTCAAGTTATGTTACCTGACAAACAGTAATTTAGACATGACTTAAACCGGTAAGTACGTAAAACGTGACTTTATAACGGATAAAAGAAAATATGCAGGACTAACAATTCAACTATCCAAAGTCGTCTGTTTAAAGTATGTTTAGACGACTTTTCGTCAGTAATTTAAAATTGAAACAGGAGGTTGTTTAGGATAAATTTTATTACCCATTTATTACATAGTAATTCACAATTGGTACTGTACTGTTCCTTTGATTATGTGAGATTAGCAAGGTCATGAGTGTTAGCTAGTTTACAATATTATTAAACGGGGACGTTTTAGTACCAAGGCATAGTAAATAACATAAAATTATCATAATCGTAATTAAATAACTTTTGTATTATTTCTATGAAGTTACAAATAGTTTGGCGTGCATTTACCTAAATAATGAAAACGTGTTAAGATAAACTGGATAAAATGTGTTTTATTTTGCATTCCCCCCCCCCCCCCATCTAGGAAATGTTCCTAACCT